AGGTGATGAAAAAGTGTACTTACTCATCCTTGTACTGTTAACATGGATTGTAAACACCTCTCTGTATACCATTCTCGGTTAAAGTAGGTAAGTTCTAAAACGCTTTAATACTGTCATGTGAAACTTGAAGTGATTAACTAATGCCAGTTCGGGCACACCCAGCACTTGGTAAAATGGAAGACATTATTTAACAATATAAGTTGTCTCGCTGTTAATAAACAAAATCAAGACTAATAAGGTTGGTCTAATTATACACACGCTGTTATTGTTTTGTTTAAAAATGGATCAAAAATGAGAAACAATTGTAATAATTTTCGTCTTGTTAGAAAATGTTACTGGCTAAACTAGAATATTCATTTCTTGAGAGAAAACACATTTCATGTAAAAACCTCTGTTAATAAACCAAACAGAATGAAGAAAGACGAGCAGTGAAAGCTTGTTAAAATGTATATCCCAGATGCGGGTTTCTACGAGCAAACGTATTGCCAAGAAGTTAATAGCAAACAAGATAAACAGTGATACAAAAGTTTCGTTAATTTGCTCTCATTTTCTGAAAGCCAAGACGTACGACGTACCATAAGGTGTTTACCCTTATCTTCAGACCGTTCCTTCTTATCGATCTGTTTACCATTTGTGCATATACTTCACTATGTATATACGTAACTAAGCTCCCCGTGACTGTGTGATTCGCCAATAAAACTGATGAAACACGGATGAAACCAAGGTCTGAGATGTTTTACTAATATCTATTTTTGGAGTCTTTTAATAGCAGAGTTTTTTTTCTTTCTAAAATTTGATCGCTACATCATTTTACGCGACTTATTTGCTTGTTGTTTCACTTGCGTTCGATACTTCCAAGTTTGCATTGACTTAGGCATCCTTCTATATAATTATTTTTCTCCCATCTTCACATTGCATCTTTTAATATCTCTTATTTATCCAAATTTTCTAATCCTTCATTTTTATATTTTCGCTTGACTTTTTATTTTCAATTTATGACATTGTTTGTGAGCTATCGACTACCATAGTACATACCAAATAACCGATAATATAAACGAGTATAAAAGATACTGCCTGCTCTTTTCAAAACTGTTGTCTTTTTTTATCTGTAAGGAAATAATTACAATTAGAGTACATAATATTGTCACTTTGTAGAAATCTCCGTTTCGTTTCCTTGTACAAAAACATTCGTTCTGAAAATCATTGGAAAGAGTTTCATACAGAAACAACTTATTCATGACGATAAAAATAATAACAGGTACTTAACACGTAAGAATTAAAAACATGCTATATTTCAACTATATAAATATTAGGTCTAATAATGTGATTTCCTATCAATTAAACAAGTTGTTCTTCAACGATACACAGTAACAACTTTCTATCAAACAGCAAAACATTTTCTTAGATTATCTTTCAAACAGACAAAATTATAAGAGCGTTTTGAGAGGGCTGCTTCCATAGGGAATTATTACCTAAACACATTGCAAAGCTAAAATTGAGTTGATAAAGTTCTAAAAATAGTTCATCATACATTACTATAATTACAGGTATGCCATGCTGGGCACTTTCTTTGGGTAATTTTTCTAATGATCTTTCATCCTGTGAGATGTAAGAACAATGGGTGGTTTTTTAATCATATCCACCAACAACTCTTGGACTACTCTTTACCAACGAACAGTGGGATTGACCGCCACATTATAACGTCCCCACGGCTTAAAAGGGCGGGTATGTTAGGCAACGAGTTTCGATCATATGATCAGCAGATTGCGATGTGAGCGCTCTATTCATGCAAGGCCCTTTGTATGTTATTCCTATGGCACAGTGTAACAATTTAAATTCAAACCTGGGTTATTTATTTTAAATACGTTCGGCATTAAAATATCTTTCAAATTATTGCATATCCAAGAGACATGCTTCTCGATGGCTCAGCGAGAGGTCTGAGGGACTTTCACACTAAAATACCCTCAGTGGGCAGAGCCCAGATAGCCCACTATGTAGCTTTGCGCGTAACAATAACAAACAAAGACATAAACAACCTCATGTAGTCTTCTAGACTTCGGTTTTATTTTAAGTCTATTACACTTTATATGTGATCCTTTGTGCTAACTCTTTTATCAAAATTCATTTAGTCTTCGGTATTTGTTTGTTTGTTTGTAGTTATGCACAAAGCTACACAATGGGCTATCTGTGCTCTGCCCACCACGGGTATCGAAACCAGGTTTCTAACGTTGTAAGTCCGCAGACATACCGCTGTGCCACTGGGGGGCTCTTCAGTATTTACTAATATGATTGTTTGTAGTTAAGCTACACAATGGGCTATCGGTGCTCTGCTCACCATGGGTATCGAAACCCTCTTTCTAGCGTTGTAAGTTCGCAGACATACCGCTGTGCCACTGGGGGGGCCTAATAATATGTAAAACATTGAATACAATTATTAAAAATAAAATAAAATTACCGAAAGGATGAAAACTGTAAAGAATATAAAAAAACAACTGAAAGTGAATAAGAACACCCATGATTTATAAGTATACCTTTGCACTAAAACAAGCAAACAAACCGATAAAATAGGGAATTTTTTTAAACGGTTTGATTTGAATTTTTTAGGAAAATGAATTTGCTCTACAAGATTCAAACCAAAAAAGGAAAGAGGATGTTTAAAACGTATATAATAAGTTTTAAGAAACTTTAGAGATGCTTTAATGACGCACAAGAGATTAAAACAAAGTGCAAACACTAGGGAAATTTCTTAAGCGAACACGAAATAGTTTAATTTTATTTTTCATTTGTAGTGAACCAACATACAATTTATACAAGAAAATTGTTTATAATGACGGTGATTAATGTTATACACTAAGATATTTTACATGTTAAAAATAAACTCTTATTCATTTTTAAAACGTTCTATTCCATAAGAGTACAAGAAGCAAATAGCTAATTTTTGTGGTTTGTAATTAAGATATTGCTACGTCTGTGTTCGTTTGTTAATTTCCCGTAAAATTTCTTTCCGAAAAACTTCAGTGATACAAGTCCTTTCTTAAATAAAACTAGTTTATTCTTTCTCAATACAACTTTGCAATACACTTAATTTCTAAAGTCACTTTAACTTAAACACACACTAGAATTCACAACGTTTCACGCACTTTACTTACGTCTTGACTTGATTATCTGTCTCTGTCTGTCAGCAATTCAATTATTTATCCCGTCATTTTATTTGCCGGCTTATATACTATAAGAGCGCGTGTCTAGCAAACACTCGAGCCTTCAGGAACGTTTGAGATACTCATTACGTGTTACCAGCGTCACGTGGCTTCGGCTGTCGTAACAATATGTTGAATTATTTCTTTAAATTAATTTAATTAATGATATTGATTAGAATCAGTGGCGTAGCAAGAGGGGCAAGGGGCAGTCACCCCCGGGCGCAGGTGTGAAGGGGTGCAAACTTTCCTCTGGCCTATAATGCCTATTAATTGATAATTATGCCCTCCCCTAGGATATAGCGCAATTGCCCTACATTAAGTAAATACGACACAGTGTTACCTTTTGTGTGTCTTACGCTTGCAGTTTTAACTTTTCAAAGCCACCCACTGAAATACAGTGAGACTGAATTGACGTACAGAAGTAAATTACACTATTCCATCATTCATCTGTAGATCAAATACAAGTCCTAAAGTACAAGTACAAGTAAGTGTATGTTCAACAAAAGTAAATACGAGATTGATGTAACATCTAAATCCAAACCTAAGACTAAAAAGATGGAAATAACAGGTCTAACATTAATGTTAGATCTAGATGTACTAGCGACTTAATCTAGGAACTGTAATCTAGCACCACTAATTAGGTAGCCTATATATATGTTTTCTCATTCTAAAACCTTTAATATTAAATATAGCCTTTGAGCCTCTAGGCTTATATTATATTACGATTACACCCTTCTCCACAATTTTCATTCGAGCGATTTCAGACTTGTCTCCTGTAGTGTTCGTGTTGTTAAACCTATCGAGTTTTTAAATGTGATTTAGCA